TAGTAATATACTATTTGATAAATAGTAGTAATATACTGTTTATTTTCTTTGATAACCAGTAGGAATATACTGGTGTCATTAACAATTGCAGAATATTAATTTGTGTTACAAAAAATTATTGTGAAATTTTATTTTTCTAATTTTAGTAACAAGGAAAATAAAATTATTTTGTGTTATAATTTATTTTCTAGTTTTAGTAACTAGAAAATTAATTTGTGTTTTGTTTTTTTTATTGTTATTTTTGTAATCAGATATTATGGCTGCTAAAACTAGTACTCCAAATACGATTGTTACAACGACTCCAGTCTCTATCCAGAACCATGTTCAAGTTCTGATAAATCATGGAGAAAAACTGAAAAAAATTTAATGGCACTGAGTTTAAGAGATGGCAGCAGAAAGTGTTGTTCTATCTTATAGCTCTAAATTTGGCCATGTTTCTTCGTGAAAAGGCTCTAGTACTTAGAGAGGATGAAAGTGATCGGCAAGTTGTTGCCGTTATAGATGCTTGGAAACATTATGATTTCCTGTGCAGAAACTACATCCTTAATGGCGTTGACAACATGCTGCATAATGTTTGCAGCCCTCTGAAAACAGCAAAAGAATTGTGAGATTCTTTGGAGAAAAAAATACAAGACAAAGGATGCCGGCACAAAGAAATTTATTGTCGATAAATTTCTAGACTTCGTTATGGTAGACTCCCCCAAACAGTAATTTCTCAAGTTCGAAATTTTCAAATAATTTTGCATAATATTCATTCTGAAGGTATGTCTCTTAGCTACTCTTTCCAAGTCGTTGCTTTAATGGAAAAGTTACCACCAACTTGGAAAGATTTCAAAAATTATTTAAAACATAAACGCAAGGAGATGACCATGGATTGTAAGACTAAGAATTGAGGAAGATAACCGAAAGGCTGAAAAGAGGAATGGTAAAAATTCCATTGATTCGAAGGCTAATGTGGTTGAACAAGTGCACAAACTATATAACAAAAAGAGGAAGTTTACTGGAGATGGTCCTACGCAAGGCGACACCAATGGCAATAAGAAGTTCAAAAGAAAAAGCTATAACTGTGGCAAGACTGGATATTGAGCTTCTGACTGTCGCCGCCCTAAGAAGGATCGCGGAAGTACAAGCAAGAAGACCACCAATCAAGCCAATGTGACAGAATTAGATTACATCTCTAACGGGGTAAATGACATTAATCTCTCTGTTGTGGTGTTTGAGGCTACTTTGGTTAGAAATCCCAAGGAATGGTGGGTTGATATTGGGGAAACTCATCACGTTTGTGCAGACAAAAAGATGTTCATAACTTACAATAAGGCTGCAAATGGTAAACAACTTTTCATGGGAATTCTTCTACTTCTACTGTCGCTAGACAAGGAAAGGTGATCTTGAAGATGACATCAGAGAAGGAATTGACCCTCAACAACATACTGCATGTACCAGACATCCGAGAGAATTTAGTTTCTGATTTTTTGTTAAGTAAAAATGGTTTTAGGCTTGCATTTGAGTCTGATAAATTTGTATTAACAAAGAGTGGTATGTATGTTGGTAAGGGATACATGAGGGATGGTCTCTTCAAGTTCAATGCAATGATGGTTGTACCAAAACTTACTATTAATAAGAATAACACATCTTTTGCTTATATTCTTGAGTTGAATTTATGGTATGGTAGATTAGGACATGTAAATTTTGATGCTTTGAATAGATTAATTGGTTTGGATTATGTACCAAAGTTTGAAATTGATGCTGATCACAAATGTGAGATTTGTGTAGAAGCAAAATTAACTAAGGCTCCATTTAAATCAGTTGAAAGAAAAACCGAACCTTTAGGATTAATTCATATTGATGTATGTGATCTTAAATTTGTTCAAACTAGAGGAGGTAAGAAGTATTTCATAACATTTATCGATGATTGCACAAGATATTGTTATGTATAATTACATTACAGTTGCACCTACCGCTTATATACTATATGAGCCTTCTCTTGTTGTTTATGTCTCATATTTTAAGTTTTTTTTTTAAAATTTTTTTTTAATACCCCTATACTAATTATATGAGCAATCATCTCCAAATTTTTATCTTTTATTTTTTTTAATCTCTAACCTTTGAATTTTCTAAATTCATTTGAATTTTCAAATTTTAAATTCAATCACATAATTTACTATCTTAGTTTTTGAAACAAAATGATTATATATGACTTCTAAAATATATACATATGCATATCATATTCGCTTGTTGCGTTGGCTACAAAGTTCTGTTTTGGGAAATTTAACTAAAATCTATTCGTTGGACCCTTATTTGATGAAAAGAGTAAATTTATTTTGTTTCATAAACCCTCTAAGAGACACATAATTGAGTAAGGACATAGTAAGTTTTTTTTCCTTGAATAATGTTGCATGTGCATATATATATATATATATATATCAGAGAACTCTTTTGACGAGGAATATTTTTATTTTATGTTACATAAGTTTAAAAATGTTGTGTTGTGTATTTTTGGTTGGTTATCTAATATGTACTCTATTTTTTGTGACAGTAAAATATTACTGTGAATCATAGTAACACTACAAGAATCTGCACTTTTAGCGACCACTTTTCGCGACCAATATAAAAGTTGGTAGCTAAAAGTTACCTTTTGGCGACCAAATATTAATTAGTCGCGAATGATCATTATTTTTGACGACCAAATATGAGTTGGTCGCAGAAGATCATATGTTGGCGACCAAAAAATGAGTTGGTCGCAGAAAGTGATGTGGTTTTGGCGACCAACTACAAATTTGGTCGCGGAAGGTCACATTTTGGAGACAAAAAAATAAGTTGGTCGTGCAAGATCAAAAATAAGTTGATTGTGGAATTGGCGACCAAAATTTTGGTCGCTAAAAAACTTATTTTTAGCGACTGAAAATATTTTAGTCGCCGTATATTGAGTTTTGGCTACTAAAACTATTTAGTCGCCGAATGGAAAATGAAACATTATTTTTTATCTTTGGCAACCAAAATTTTGGTCGCCAAAAACTTATTTTCAACAACTAAAAATATTTTAGTCGCCGTATATTGAGTTTCGGCTACTAAAACTATTTAGTCGCTAAATGGAAAATCAAAAATTATTTTTTATCTTTTGGCGACTAATAGTTTGGTCGCCAAAAACTTATTTTTAGCGACAAAAAATATTTTAGTCGCCGTATATTGAGTTTTCGCTACTAAAACAATGTAGTCGCCGAATGGAAAATAAAAAATTATTTTTTATCTTTTGGCGACCAAAATTTTGGTCGCCAAAAAACTTATTTTTAGCAACTAAAAATATTTTAGTCGCCGTATATTGAGCTTTGACTACTAAAACTATTTAGTCGCAGAATGGAAAATAAAAAATTATTTTTTATCTTTTGGCGACCAAAAGTTTGGTCGCCAAAAACTTATTTTTAGCAACAAAAAATATTTTAGTCGCCGTATATTGAGTTTTGGCTACTAAAACAATGTAGTCGCCGAATGGAAAATAAAAAATTATTTTTTATCTTTTGGCGACCAAAATTTTGGTCGCCAAAAAACTTATTGGCGACCAAACTTGTTGTCGCAAAAAAAAAAAAGAAGAGTTTTTTGCGACTGTAATAGGTACCGTTGCAAAAAAAAGTAAATATATATATATATATATATATTGTGGCTTTGAGACATTTTCATATATATATAGTCACAAAATAGTTTAAATAAATGCAACGTCATTTTTCTGTCACAAAAAAAAATTACAAAAACAATGTCGTCTTACTCTTTCTCTGTGTCTGTCTGTTTGTCTCTCTCCCATTGTGTTCACCTTGCTCACTCTCTCCCTCTCATCTTCTCTATTTATTGAGCTCTCCACTACAAAAAAATGCACTTTTAGCGACCACTTTGTCTCTCTCTCGCTCATCACTCTGTCTCTGTCTCTCTCTCTCTCTCTCTATCTGTCTCTCACACATCTCTCTCTCACCACCCATCTCCTCTACCACATTCACCACTACTGCAAATGTCATTCCACTACCACCATTATTACCAATGTTGTCACTCCACCTCTACGACTACCATTACTACCACCATCACTGCCACTACTACCACTGCTACCACTACTACTACTACTATTACCTCTCCTCCTCCACCACCACTCCATCTCCTCTACCACTGCCATAACTTCACCACTAATCTCCTTCGCCATCACCTCTTATACACCACCTTCACCACTACTGCCGCTCCCTCTCCTCTACCACAAAAAATTAGCTCTTGATTTTTAGTAAACAAAAAAAAAAATGGGCCACAAAAAAATATTTTCCGTTGACCATAAAAAATTAACTTTATTTTAACAGAAAATATTTTTCATTAAAATATTACCCTACTTCTACCAAATAAAAAAAAAATTCATTAAAATAAAGTTAATCTGTCTGTCTCTATCTCTCTACACGTCTCTATCTCTCTAAATTTCATTAACTTTATTTTAATTGAAAATATTTTTCATAAAAATATTACCTCTACTTTTACCAAATAAAAAAAAGATTTTATTAAAATAAAAATGAAACTAATAAATTTTTAACCTTAATAACTAAGAAAAATAAAAACAAAAAAAAAAAATTTCTGCAGTTTCAACCAAAAAAAAAATTAACAAAAAATAAATAAAACTATCGCCTATCTTAACTCTCCTATTCTTTTCTTCTTTTTTTCGTTTTCCCGCTCTTTCTATTTCCCTCCTTTCTTTCCCCCCTTTGTTTCTCACGATCTCAAATCCCCAATCCCTAACAAAAAATCCCCAAAATACGATACTATAGGGAGAGGGAGAGGGAGGGAGGGAGAGAGAGAGAGAGAGAGAGAGTTGATCGGAGATTCTAAAAAATGGGGAACTATCACTTCGTGTACAAGGACGTGGAAGGAGCTTCGACTCAATGGGACGATATTCAGAGAAAATTAGGAAACCTCCCTCCGAAGCCCCCTGCACTCAAGCCCCCATCCTTCAATCCCGCCGAGGACGAAGACTCTAAACACAAAGACAAAGCCCGCCACCGCGACTGCGACTACCACCGACGACTACGACTCTGTTAAGTTCTCTCTCTCTCACTTGTTTGTTGCTCTCACTCTGCCCCTTTCCCTCTCCTTCTAATTTTTGAAACCCTAACAAGTGATTTTTTTAAGTCTAGGGTTGGTCAAAGTCGTCTATCTCCTATGGGATTTTGATTTTGATTCGATTTGTTCATTTCCAAGTTCTTTTTCTTTAATTTAATTTATGTGTAAATTTTGCACACCTTCAAACTGCACGCAACTGTATGCTTAATGCCTACTGATTTTTCCTTCTCTTCTATTTCAGTCCCTTAATTTCATTTATCAAAAAAAAAAAAAAATTTGCGCCCTTTAATTTTCTTATGGTGGTTTCATCAGCAATCCCCTTGTAATGCAGAAACCTTGCTGGAAATAGCTTCACTGGTGGCATCCCTTATTCCATATCTCAGATGACTTCCCTAAAATACCTGTTAGTCAAGCATCCGAAATTTGATTTTTATTGTTCATGGAAAAACTATTTAAAACTTCACACTTAACCACTGGTTGTTACATTGCATTACCAAACAAGGGAGGAGAGAAAACACAATCTTTTATTTCCTCTTGTAATTTAACAAATCATTTCTTTTAAGTGATGTGCATTTTTAGTAAGATTGGCTTCTTTGATTTGTTTCTTAATTTACTAGCATTTAAAAGATAGCTGTAGTAAGTATGCTTGCTTTTAATAGCTGTAGTAAGTAATCTGATTTCAGTCTTGGCATAAAGATGCTTGTGAGACCCTGAAAGATTAGAAATTCATTATTGTTGGTCTTAATGATTATCATAGTCTTGGTAATAAGTGTTTTGACTTCACTACTCTATCTTGTTGCAGAACTTTTGTGATGCCTTCTAGTATGTGTATTAATCCAATACATAATAATAAAGGGCTTTTTCATCAGTCAGACAATGCAAATTCAGAGGAAAGGTAAGCTTCATTTGGCTTCTATTGTAAAGAATCCTTGGTTGGTTACATCACAACAGAGGGAACAAAAGAAGAAGACAATTGTTGAACACTGGCTGTTGTTTTGTTTTCAATGAAATTGTTTGCATAACACTTGTAAATAATTTCCTTGCATTTCTTTTCCTTTTATTAAAAGCAACAACTTGAGGCTTATGGTTCAATGCATGGTACAAACACTGACACGGGATTGGTGTCTTGCATGCATATTAGGCACTTCCTAGTTTGCTTATGAATAAAATAAACCAGGACATGTGTGCTGCACTCACAAAATAAAATAAAATGAAATAAAAATAGTTGCCTCATTGTATTAGCAGTTGTAACTCTCTCGTGTTAAAAATTGAGTGGTATTTTCAGAGAAATAACTAGAGGTGTTGTCTAATGTATGCTGATATTTGTGTCATTTTATTTATTAGGTGGGCTGCTAGCTCCTGTGCCATGGATTTGTTGTATGATTTGGAGCTCATTTCCAACACTGTTCCTGTAGTTTTTGACAATTCTGAAACATGGCATCTGGTTCTATCAACAAGCTTGAAGTTAGGGAGTAGAGGGATGGCCCATGTACAAAAAATTACTTGTGTTGATCTTAAAGAGAAAAGTCAATGTTCAAATATCTTGCTCATTAATCGAACTGCTAGCCCTCTTGCATGGTAAGCTCATTATTGCCATATAATATTTATTTTGCTTTGCTTAGTTCCACAACACCCCCATACCCACAAAACTGGTGAAGGACAAATCGAAGAAATGTTTGCTCCATTGATTGTTCAAAGTCTCTGTAGTAGTTACCCTGTATTCTCACATTATAAGGGTTTGGAGGAGACCAGCCTAACTTCTTTATATATTAGTTATTGACTGAAAAATGATCAAGGCTGTGATAGGGTCTTACTCATTTACATAATTAAATTTTAAAAACCAATTTTAATTGAAATGAACAACAAAACCATTTTGAATTAGTTCAGATTTCATAAGTAGTAATTATATTGTTTATGTCATATGCCATGCAATATTATTGTTCAAATCTTTGAAAAAAATCACACCTGTGTTGGTAGAGTTTTTCATGTTTTAATCATGGTTATATTATTAATCTTGATAATTATTCAGGTTTATGGAGTGCAAAGATCGAAAAAACCACACTGCTACAATGTTGCCATATTCATTTCTTCCTTCAATGGATGCCCAGAAACTACGACATGCAGCAGAAAAGGTTTACCATGTACAATCTTTTTAAGTTATGATTATCTACTCAGTTCAGGTGAAATAGCACATGATTTACCATGTATTGGCTATTTGCACTGTCTGCTAACAAATACTTGGTCCAGTTATCTTGTTAATATCTTTTGACTGCACATAAAGTTTCTCTTCAATTAATGCAAGAAAAAAGTAAACTCAAGGAAGCAGTAAAATTCTGATATTGGCATAATTTCATGGTGGGCCCTATTAGAACTATGCATAATCATTGTATTATTCTTGGTAGAGTCTTATATTATGATTATTTAGGTTAGGCATTGATCTGGTTTGTTTCATATTATCTAGTAGTGTTCTATAAGTCATCAGTATATTGCTAATTTCAGAAATTTCTGAAAATAGGTTTTAGTTGCTGCTTGTGGGTTATAATTTGGGTCAAGTTTTATATGGGTTGTTAAGTATGATTTTAGGTAAGTTTTGAATGAGTTTTAAATGCCAAAGTCTTTATTTTTTAAATTTTGGTGTCAGTCCTTTTGGAATTATGAGTTCTGTATAAAGGTATGTACTTCTTATTCAGCAATGATGAGTTTAGAATTTTTTTTGAGAGCTTTTGAAGCTTGTTTGGGATGGTCTGTGCGATGCCTGCCTGCAGGAATCCATGTGTGTTGCCTACTCTAGTTGTCATCTTCATCATCACAATCATAATCATCATCATCATGATGCACTTTAACCGTTAAAACACGCTGAACCAGATCTGTTTCATCTTCCTTTTCCTACCATTAATTTTGTTTACAACACTAACATTTTTTCTTCAATTCTTCAACCCTAGCTTGCTTTAAGTACTTGGATTATTATTTTGTTAGTGGATTATACCAGTGGACTTGGTGGACAATTTCATATGATAAGAATTATTTATTTTTATGAATTTTGGCATTATGATAATTAAAGATTTAATTTGAGTATTTTGCATTGTTGGTTTATGTGGTTGGACTTTTAGTCTTGTATGCTCATTTAAATGAGTGTGCGACGTTGTCATGGAGCTTGAGGCGTGACAGTTAGGAAATGGAGACTGTTGGTTTATCAGGTGGTATGGACCTAATAGCCGTAATCAGAGCCTCAGGAAGAATTAGTCATGCACGGGGTCTCAATGTTCCTAGTTCGGGTATTGTTGGTGAGCAATTCATTGAGAAGATTCGTAGGGTAAGAGGTATGATTTAGATATTGGATCTGCATTTTTTTTGATTAATCTGTTTGAGGGAAATCTCGTTTCTTGCTATTTTAATATTTTAAAAAGACATCCTTTAGAAACAACCAAAAGAAAAAATGGAAAAAAGGGGCATGTAAAATTGATGGCATAGTTAATAGTTCATGTTGACCCTTCTGTTTCCCTTTTTTTATTTTTTATTTTTGCTTTTACTTTCCTTTACAAATTGTAAAGTTTACTCATGATGCAAACTGTAAGATCATCTATAAATAGTAAAATTAAAGCAGCGAGAATGTTTGGAAATTGGTTGGTTTCAAGATGGACACACTTGGAACTTTTCTTAATCACATTTTGGTATTGATTGTCACTGTTTATGCTTATTTTTAAGTTAGTATGGATATAATTAGCTTTCGATATGAAAAATCAAGTATTATAGGTTAAGAGTATTTTGATTATTTCAAAATTTTCTTGACATGGAAGGTAAGGGCATCCATGGGTCATACATAGGTGAAGTTGTGTATTGGGTAATTCTATAATCTTTCTATCTGTTTTAGATGAGTTTTAAAAGTCAAAATTCTAGTCAAATTGAAAATATGTTTCAATTTATTGATGGATGATTTAGAAATGCTTCAGAAACCACAACAATAAAATGTAATGACAAATTAGTGTTGGTAATGAGGAAGACATGGTGGACTAATGAAGGTGTGAAAAAATGTACGGTAGCATGGTGTTTTGTAGAGCAAGTATAGAGTGGATGAAAGGATAGGCCATCATGTCATTGGCCTTTCAAATGCAGTAAACTGTTTTGAAGACCTTGAGACGTACTAAATGGGACAGGGGGTTGGTTTGCTCTGATGAATAAGGAGAAAGAAATACAAAGTGAGTTGTTTCAAATCTTAAACATGAACAAACTTGAATTTAAAAGATAAATTGTAGTTACAAAAATGGCTGCTCTGATGCTAGATCCTAGTCATATTAGATCTCAAAGAATGATACTCTAATTATCCATGGCCCCAAGGGAGCTGTGGGAAGAAAAATAACCCTCTTTTAACTGAGTACATTTTAATGAAGAAGTCGTAAGGACATGTTACACTGCAGGTGAAGTGGGCCAACATATGATGTACCAGGCTCATTAATCAAGCCTGCTACACTTGCAGGCTCTAAAAACTGCACTTATTTTAGTCTGGAAGATAAGATTGGTTCTTAGCCTATAGTGCAGCTAGCTGCACAGCTAAATAAGAATCGCCAAACTGCTATATGAAGCCCATCAAAAGCTGATTTGTGAGACACCAAAACTCATGTAGTGGCGACTGTCTGCACACCCTCAACCTCAAGAGTGCTGCCTTGAGCCTTCATTGATCTCCAAACTCACCTCACTATCCTCTCATTCCTGGCCTTCTTCAGTATCCTGAACTTGGTAGATTTCAAATATAAGAGCTTGAATAAGTTTGGTATTGTTAGAAATGGGAAAAAAAACTATATGTTTTTTAGTAAACAGATATAACATCCATTTTTACTTCGTAGACTATGCTTTAGTAATTTGTAGATTTTCATTTTTCAATTTTTTTACGACTTTAAATGTGTAGTATGATAGGGGTAATTCATGTATTTGTTGTTGGTTCTCAGGGTTGGAGGCTTCCAGATATGATGTTTGCAACCAAGTGTAGTTTATCTGATGCATGCAACACTATAGCCAAACAACTTGAGAATGTTTACTCATCAATTGCGGCAAGTTTTTCTTCTTACTTCTTTTACTACATATGTTTGATATTCATGTTGTTTGTGTTGATATTGGTGCACCGCATTGTGATGTGAAGTTTGAGCTCAGTTCATTCTAAGATCTTTAAGTCCTTCACAAAAGGATAGTTTTTCCTTCAAACATGGAAAGCACCTTTGACCCTCTACTTAAGGTAGAGGTTTTATTGATGTTATAATTACAGATGCATTACTAGATTGAGATATGCTAAACAAAGACATGAAATAAGTTAGTTTGCTCTTAATCAAGGTAAGATTGTTTGTAAATGCTTCCTTTTTTACCCTGCCAATCTCTTTTGAAACCTCCTTGGCAGTACACCCTACTCATACCATGTCACATGCAGCCTTTGTGTAGAGGGGAGATGTGATCCTACTTGACAGACCAAAGAAAGAGCATCCGTATGCAGTACCTCACCTACCTCACCCACCAAGGCCTAGTTAACCTTCAAACCTAAAATAGTCTCAAAACACAAAAGGACACAACAATATGAGACAATGCTTGTTTTGACAATAATACTACTTTCATTGACAGAGACCGTCAATTGATAATTTTATTCGAAACAATGCAACTTTTTTTCCATGAACATTGTCTTGATTATAATGAGATGACATTACTGAACTGGATAAGTATATGCCATAAAAGATCAAATTATGACAGCACATCCTAATGCCAGCGATATTCCTAAGAAGGGTTTTAGCACATACGTTTACATTATTATAATTGGAAGTCTATCTCAATTAATAGTACAAGGTACAAGGATGTACCTTGTATAATTGACTCTATGAGTCTATGTAAAGCCTTCTCCTTGGATAAGTCCAAGGCATTCATATCCTTCTTTACTGGTATATTAGTTGGTCTACGTTGCTTAAACCATCTTAGATGACTTCCAGATACAATTTGATGACATTTATGAAAATCCAATTATCTTGCTTTATTTTGGAAATATTATTGAAAAACATGTGAATAAAGATTTTTTTGTTTTCCAGGCCACCAAGCGGCATTTATCTTCAAAAATTGACCATGTGGATCGTACTTTAGATGAGAGTGCAGAGCTTACTGCTGCTACTAGAGAGGAGGTGGGACCAAATTAAAGGTTGGCTAGTTATTGAATATTCTGCTGGTTGCAGTTTTGGGTTAATTCATGAACATTACTAAACCATACAGGTTTCTGAACTGCGAGGAGAAATCCAAGTGATTTGTGTAGATGTGCAACCTGTTCACCATGTAGTCCGAACTCTGGTCATTAATCTTTGCTTACCTATATTCATAAGATAATTTTTGGTTGTGACTTGGAACACTGATTTAACTGTTTCCATGTCCAGGAGACTAAATTAGTAGAATAGAAGGGAAACAGGTATTATAGTTGCAGAGGTTATAGTTGCAAAGGATCTTACATTAACAAGATCAATTGGTGTTGTGACAGGTGAACCTAGCAATTCACATTCTTATGGTTTCTTTGATATTGTTAGACACTTTAGCATGCCACTATTTACAATTTTTCTTTTCATTTCTCTTAATTTTAAAATTCAACTAATCAATGAATGGACGATGTCTCAAGGAAAAACATTTATTCCAAGAGGTTTTATACATTACAACCAGAACTCAATCGTTAATCAATAACAATTAATAGTATGGATGCCTTTAGTTGATATTTAGCAATTCCTGAAAGGGTGACATTTTTTTGTTGACATCTGTTCGGAGAACATAAAATGTTTCCAAACAAACTAATACTCGATCAACCTTATCATGTTCATTAATTGCCCTTGTTTGCCTAAAAGTGCCAGGATATTTAACTAGGGACAATTACTTGACAGTTGGGTCAGTGGAAAAAAATTACAAATTAATAAAGCTCTAGCTTTGGGAAGCTCTGCTTTGATTTGCCTTGTGATTGCAACATCTGCTTTGAGAAGCTCTAGCCTCGGTTGGTTTAGAGTTTTTCCAAACTTGTATTATGTCAAATACATGAACCTCAAGCCTAGACTCCAAGCTTCTTTGTTCAATATGCGAGCATGAATTCTGCAGTTTGCTTTGCTGGTTGCATTCCTTATCTTGGTTGATGAACACATTTTTTCCCCCTGAAATTTGAAGTCTTATACTGTGAGCATCATTTACGTATTCATTGACACTGTGGCTGCAGGTATATCATATTCCATCTGGGGTCGCGATCACACTAGTGGGTCGCGATCTTTTCCGGCAGCGATGAGTATTGCGGTGAGATGTATTTCGTTGATTTTATTAACCTTATCCACACTTATTTAATATGTTACCATATTAATGAAGGCGTGTTCTTGTTGGTGTTTGGCATATCACAGGTGAAGGAAAATGGTGGGTTGTTGCCAGATCTCTGTAATTTCTACAAGGACACTCATCAACGCAAGAAGACAAAACAGTGGATTGATCCTATATGCGGTGATTTACATGCAAGTATTCCAATCATTTAGACACTTATACACGCAACTTTTGTGTTTGTCTTATATTAACAATATTTATATTTTACAATTATAGGAGCAAATGACAAGGGTGCGGGATGAGTTTATCGAGGCTGGAACGCCGATGAGGCAAGAGGATATATCAATAGTGGTTCTTGGTAAGAAGAAGGGATACTAGAGAGGATTTGGGGTTAGACCAAAGCCTTCTTCTTATGATACTGGGTTCTCTGCTGCATCACAAGCACGTGACGAGCAATTGAAAAGGCTTACATCCGAGTTAGAGATAATGCGTGCGGAGCAGCAGAGCAACCGTGAGGAGCAACAAAAAAAAGAAGAGGAGCAACAAACGAAAGAGGCAGAGAATACAAGACAACGTGAGGAGATGCAGCGGCAGCTTTTTGGACTTCAGAGCATGTTGGCGCAAGTATTGGAAAATCGCAAATCTACCAAATTCTCGACAATAGATAGTCATGGTAATTGGTAAGTGTGTTAAACCATATTTGATTATATTTATGTTCAAAGTAAAGGCGAATAAACGTTTGATGAGAATATCATAGAGAAATCATTGTCTTTAAACTAATTTTAGTTCAATATTTAAAATATGGAATTTACAGTTTAGTTTATGTTGACTAGTATAGAAACTTCAAACATTGTAATGCTCCACTGATCCATGGATGACTAGTTAAACAAGAATGTTTGACTGTTCCATGGAAACCAAAATGTGATAGAGAAGGCAAAAACGAGCCGGTTGGGGCAAAAAGTTGGAAACAGCCTGGAAACAACCCGAGATCGTAGTGGTCACCTCGGCCTAGATCAAACAAACTTGTGAAAGCAAGCAAGCTTCGATAGGACGCATTATTAGTTATGTAGGACATAAAAGTGTGACAAAGTAGGCAAAACCGGGGCGTTTGGGGTCCAAAACTGCTCTGAATTAGCTCCTCTCTATTTCTTTTTTTCCTTCTTTTCTCTTCCTTTGGTGGTCTACATGGTGAAGTATTGCATCAGTCATGAAGGTGGACTGATCTGGAGCAATTCTGCTGGTCTGCATCAGATCTGTTTAGATGCTTGTGGTGGTGTGCTCCAGATCAATTCTGGTGGTGTGCTCCAGATCTGTGGTGGTCTGCTCCAGATCTGTGATGCTTGTGGTGGTCTGCAGCAGATCAAATCTGGTGGTCTGCTCCAGATCTGTCTTGCTTTTTCCTCATCTGTCAATCATCCTCATCTGTCTGGATGGTCATCCTGATCAGTCTGGATGCTTGTTTTTGGAGTAAACTGGTGGTCTATATTGTGAAATTAGAAATTTTCACAATTTTTGTAAGAAAAAATGTCGAATTTCACAATTTCTCTAATTGAGAAACTAAAAAAATTACAATGCTTAAGAAACTGCAAAAGTGCACACTTTCTGTATAGAAATTGAGAAACTTCTTGATTTTTAAATATTGTGAAATTTTTAAATTTCAAATGCTACACATTAGAAACTCTCCCAGAAAAAAGTGCGTGCACAAATCATCATCATGGATTGTGGGCCTTATTCAAGATAATATAGTACTGAGAACAACATACATTTTGTTGTATGAAAATGTTAGTGTTTGTATTTATTTTGATGGAATATGATCTTCAGGTGGTGATGTCAAATGACATCGTTACAGAAGAAAGAATAAAAATTAATAGTCAACTATATATGGTGGTGACTATCAACACCAATTCATAGTTTGTATTTATAGGTGACAGTCAACTATCAATACAAAGAATTAATGATCGATGTATCAAATTTATTAAAGAGCTGCTATAAATTATTTTTTGTTTTAAACATTTTTTTATATCACTGATCAATACATGCATGATAAATATAAAGTAATATATTAGTATTTGCTTTTTCTAATACTTATCTCTAAATAAAAACGATTAGAAATAAAACTACCCAATAGTCACAAACTTAACTTTTTTGCAGGTATAAAAAGTTCTGTTTTACAAGTAGACTACCTACCTCCCTTTTGAGGAGTGAATTGGTTTGGTTAATCAATCGAACAGCCTCTGGGTAGTCAAGTGCCACACCCCTTATCCGATCTTTCGGCATTGGCATCTCCCTTTGCATCAGTTCCGATATTGCCATGTAATGAAACATGTTCATCATCCATTCATTCATTATTTATCAATCTAGATATATAGGTTGCCAAAATAGGAGTTTAATTTAATTCACATGAAAGGTTCATTGAGGAAGATAGGAGTTATTGACAATATGGATCAATTTTAGTTGCCGTGTTTGGTTTCTGCTGTGTGGCACTATATTGGATCTGGAATGGTGGCTGATCCAATTTATTCTATAGACATAAGAATGCTATTGTTTTATTTACAATTTGATAATGGTAGTCATTTAATTTGCTAATGTGACCTTTGCTTTTCATGGACATTTTTCATTATTTGTCCAATTTTAACTGACATTATTTATCTTTTTCTTTGGTACAGATGGATGAACTCGTGCACAAAGCTAAATTGTACAGGACAAATTGGCACTTTTTGAGTTTTTGGAAGGATTATATATTTTTGTATAGATATATATGGAAAATATTAGGGTAGACTAGTAGGTATATTTTTGGATACACTAATAGTTATATTTTTTGATGGGTGTGTATAGAAAATATTTGGTAGACTACTAGTTATATTTTTGGATGGGTGTGTATAGAAAATATTTGGTAGACTACTAGTTATATTTTTGGATGGGTGTGTATAGAAAATATTTGGTAGACTACTAGTTATATTTTTGGATGGGTGTGTATAGAAAATATTTGGTAGACTACTAGTTATATTTTTGGGTTGATGTACTTGGATAAAAATTTAAAACATAATAACAAGTACTTGTTATGTTTTAAATTTTATGCTAGATGAAATATGTAGTTTCGAATTATTTG